AGTTGAGGGTTTTGATTCATCAGAATTGTTGTATCCCTGCTGTGTAACAAGCCAATACCACCAGCAATAGTATCATTCACAAGAAATAAAAGTGCCTGCATTTTGCACTTCTGCCCAACCAAGAGACAGCAGACAACACAGAAATGCACAAACTCTCATTTTTATATTTTAAAAATGTAGATCAGATATAAGCTATGGATTTCAACAAAACACCTGAAAGGCTTCCACAGCGTGCCAGAGTCCACATATCTTTTAAAATGACACTTTGGCAAATCTTTGAACCATTTGAGTTTCTTGTCCAAAGAAATGTCTGTTTTATTTATATCTCTTTGTGTATCTATATATTTTTCTAGCCTAAATTTAATTTCAGTTTTTGAATCTCCTTGTCACATCACATAATTTGGTGCTTGCAGAAAGCGTAAACACACTTTCCATGTGACTAAAAAACATGAAGCAGTATTCGGGTGGAGACTATGGCCCATGAGATCCCAACCAATTACCTGTCTCTGCCCCTGGTAAGAAACCAGTGGATAATTACTTCTGGAAAATATAAAGCTACACAAGCTGAGACATATTGTGCTAGGTTCATACGTCAGTATGTTATAGAATGTAGTGAAAAATATCGCTGGGGTCAGAATCCATTCTGCCTGTACTGCTCTTGCACAATCTGTTAATTTTTAAATCATTAAACATTATTTAAACAGGGGCTGGAGATTTCGCTCAGTGGTGCCGCCACCTGCCTCACAAGCACAAGCTCCTGAGTTCGATCCTCAGTACCCCCTGCAAAAAAAACCTAAATAGACTTTTTTCTTTACTGAACAACATAGGTTTGATTTAGAAATTACAAATTGCCTAGATGCTACCAAGTTATCTAATTCATTTAGTTTTCAAATTTATTTGTCTATTTTTAAATTGATAAATTTGTGTGTATATACACTTTTCAAAGTATATACTTGTGTATACTTATATAAGTATATGCACTATAGAATATCTAAATCTAATGAATGTATGTATCACCTTATGTAGTTGTCATTTCCATGGTGAGAGCACTTAATATCCACTCGTAGCATTTGTAAAGAATATAATGTATAATCATTAACTCTAGACATTGTGTCATCAATAGATCTCTGATCTTATTCCACCTGATTACACACCTTTGAACAACATCTACCCAAACCACCATCCCTTTCCTAACTGCCCCAGCGTCTCCTAACCTATATTCTACCCTCTACATAAGATCACCATTTTTAGATTCCCTATGAGTGAGATCATGTGGTTATTTAACTTTCTGAGCCTGGCTTATTTCACTTAACATAATGCCCTCCAGGTTCATCCACGTCATTGCGCATGACAGAATTTTCTTCTTGTTATGACTGAAGGACCTATAGCTATCAGCCAAGTTTAATTTTGAAGGTTACAGTGCCATGATTTCTTGTGCCTTAAAACAATATTGATGTGCATAAGAAAGCAGATTATTGTTCATATATTTTTAAAATGTGTAAAGGTCTTTGTTATCTTTAGTGTGTTTCTATTCCTCCTGAGAACTTTAGTAGGGAAAACTGACAAGTAGGAGGTGATGACTACTGATGACTGGCGCCCAGGCACATAAATGGAGGCGAGACTCACATAGGGAATGGCAGGGCAGGAGCGGACCGAGTCGCTGAGGCCCATCCAGCCCTGGTAGTCAGGATCGTCCCCGCGCTGCAGGAAGTACTGGTGGCCTTGGTAGTTGGGGTGCTCATACAGCATCCAGCAGCTCCTGTGCGCGCGGATGGAGTTGCCGCGGCCCAAGTAGGGCTGCAGGTTGGGGCAGCCGGTGCTGCATTCGTAGCAGGCCCTGGAAGCCCCGGTCCTCGTAGAAGGTGATCTGCAGTGGAAAAGAAGGTGATAGAGATGTTCAGATGGAAGGTACACTCCCCCAGCGTGGATGCTTGGTAGACATAGTGCAGCCTGTCCATTGGCTCACCTTCCCCATACTTGATGACAGCAAATGATCAGCGTCCAGTGTGATGGGGACAAGAGTGGCAGCTGATCTATATTTGGCATGATGGCTGCTGTGTTGGCAGGAACAACACAAAAGGGAGCTGGGGGTAATGCCTAAGGGGATTTCTGTGTTCTCTTATTTTTTCATTTAGGATCATGGGGCAGGGAGTTGTCATTCTCTCTGGCACTTTCGAGTTGTCCTCAGTAGTTCCAGTGAAAAGAATTCAAGTCAGCAGAGCCATTATGACCTTGCAGACAAAGGATGCACTTGTCATCCTATGCAACTCTCTAGAAATATATGACATGCCCAGAATTTTGCAAGGTTTGCCTACAGAAACTGCTGAGGTGGAGGTTGGTGGTTTTGTCTGAGAAAGTTCATAGGAGTGGTATGAATTCCAGGAGGACTTGAGGTGCACAAGGCCAACAAAAATCTCAACCGAAAAATCCTCGACTTGAAAGGTATTGCATTTCGATATCAAGTATATTATGACTTTGATTTTTAAAAACTCGCATATGTTTAAGATAAAAGATTGGATCCATGTGAACACTAAAATATCATTCATGGTTATCAATGAATGGAAAGATTAAGGTACTAACTGTTTTGACAAATTAGTTTTGCTAGTATTTCCTTACATTTCTACTATATGTAACTACTATAGGATGAAAAATAGTAAAATCAGTAATTTGTATGGGTGCTTATTCTACATGAATATTGCTTTATGTTTGTATGGGGAATTGTGGCTAAGCATTTCACTGTCCCCAGTCTGCAGAAGAAGTACAATTCTATTGCATTATCTTACTTATAATCATTAAATCATCCCTTTTGCTTATACTGCTGTCACTTCTACTTCCTTTAAAGATTCAGGAAATGTTTTATGAAACCCCAAATGCAGTTCTTTATTTTGATGTTAATTTGTACAGTCCCACTGTAAGTGTTGTTTCTAATTATAGGTGGAAAATGAAGTTTTATTTGCAATTGGAAAAAAATACAACAAAAAGAATGGTCATTTAGAAAATAGTGAAGATACTTAATAAAATTTTGATATGAAAAGCACAATGTGAGGAAGTTTTGGAAGCCCTTTAGTGAATTAGAACAGGTAAAAGCTAAAAAGAATACATTGCGGTCTTAACTTGTGTTGTTGCTAAGTATTACATGTCTTATTGGAAATTGCTTGAGGATTCCCTGAAAGAGGCCTGTTTATTTACCAATTAGTCTTTAAAGTAAAATTTACCAACATTTACCCCCCCAAAAAGAAAAATAGTAAAATAAAAATTTTAACATATGATTTACCACTAATGGTGCAAAGCATTTTTAAAATTAGATATACTGTATTTTATCTTGAGATTAAACACTACTCCTTGGGCTGAAAACAAAGAGATTCAAGAATCTGAGACACTCAAAGAGCAGGAAAATACACAGGATTCTTCCATTTTCGCCACGGAACCAACCTTCATTGAGAGTTTTTTGTTTTTTTGGTACTGGGGATCAAACTCAGGACCTTGTGCTTGTGAGGCAGGCAGTGGAACCACTGAACTAAATACCCAGCCCCAAGAGTTGTTTTTTGTTTTTGAAATTAATGTTATCGTTTGCCTGTGTTTTCTTTCACACAAATGTTGCTGTGTCATTGAGCCAAGGTGTCTGCCTAAAGAGCTTTCTCTATTTTGACTAACCTTTTTTTGTTTGTTTTTTTTTTCATTGAGTTTATTGGTACAGTTACATTCATCATTGGGATCCTGTACGTTTACATGACAGATCTTGGTTCTCATTTTTCCCCCATAACCCTGCCTTCCCTTCATCCCTCCTCCTCCCCTATTTACAAGACTTTGTTTCCATTTTTTCCTTGTCTCCTATTTTTTCTTTTCCCTTATTTCCTGTCCCCTACCCTTCCCACTTCCCCTATACCTTTAGCCCTTTTGTTCCTATTTCACATTGTCAGTTATACAGTTTGGATCGTATTTACACTTATAGTTTTTCACAACATAGAAACTATTCTGTATTTACACGTGTGTCCTATTTATTTCACTTAAGAATATGATCTCAATATGACCTCAGTGTTCCTATGAATGACTCTAGTTTCTCATGCTTTATGGCTGAGTAGTACTCCATTTTCTTTATCCAGTCTTCTTCTTTAGAAAAACCACATCTTCTTTATCCAGTCTCCAACTGATGGGCAATTGGGCTGTTTCCAGGTTTTAGCTATTACAAAATGTGCCACTATAAACATGGGCGTGCATATATCACTGTGGTATGATTCTTTTAATTCTTTTGGAAACATACCCAGCTGTAGCTAACCTATTGATTTGGAAGCACTCCTTACATATGCAGGGATAGTATGATAAAAAGCTCAGATTTTTTTTGTCATCCTATTCCATGTGTATGTAGGAAGATGAAATAAAAACCTTTATGCTTCAGAGCAATGGAGAGAATCTAAAGGGATACCCAGCTATAGCAAGCAATGCATTCACAATGATATTTGTGAAAATCCTCAGGCAGCACTTAAAGCAAATGTATAGATGGTAAAAGAAGAGGCAACAAGAGCTACAAAGAAAAACTATTCTGTCATAACTAGACGAGCTAGACAAAAAGAAAACTGGACAAATCCTAGGCAGCTATGCCCCTGGGAAGAAACCACAGGTCACCAATATCCTTCTCTGCCTCCCTCCTAAAGCTTCAAGTCTCCTGGTAAATCCTAAATACAATTGTTATCAAGCACTGTGTGGAAAAGACTACACTGATCGCCCCAGCCACAGACCCCATCACCATTTTCAGCAGAGGTCGATAAACCCACATGTTTTTGCATACACTACTGAAAATGCTCTGCAAAGAGATGGCAGCCCCCAAGAAAGGTATGGAATTCTGACAGTTATTTGACCAAATTGTTATTACAAACATGAACAGGCTAAGCCATGTACCTAATCAGCATTTTGAAAAGCTGCTGAGAGTAGAAAATTTTCTTTTGCTACTAGTCACATTCTGCAGAGAGAAAGCTTGCAGCTATTTTTCTTTTAATGCTTTATTGAGATGATTTAAGTACTTTCCTTTTGAGAACACAGTAAAGGCAATCAATGACCAATTAATTTTATTTTGGATTACAACTTGGGAAAACTGTCCTCTACACCACCATGCAGAATTGAATGCCACACATTTATAGAACATGCTAGGAAGCCAGTCTGCCTACTCTGACACAGAAATATTATACACTCTCTGAATTTTCTATTAGTCTTATAGTCACAATGAAGTAACATGAGATACACACATTTTTTTTCTTTTACCAAAACATACTCTGCAGTATGCTTCTAAGAGAAGAAAACTCAACATTAAAAGTAACATTGGCAGTGCTGTTTGCATCAAAAGCTAACTGTAAAGAAAAATGTGCTGGCAAAACTGTAGCTTTAAGAAGGTGGTTTTCATCTGCCACCAGAGGTTCTGTTATGCAGTTCCATGGTGCCAGTCCAAGTCTCTAAGTGACCTGCAGAATGAAAGGATGATTTTAGTATTAAGTACATCAAGATAACAGACCACAAACACTAGCTTCCAGTCCATAGGGAGTTAATCTAAAATATCAAATGCTAACTGACAAAGATGGATTATATAAATGTAGGTATAAAAGAATTTTCATGGAACTATTCTGAAAGATTTGGAAATTGAGTTATATTTCTCAACTAAATGCAATGTGTGACATCATGCTGAATCCTGTATAGAAGAAAAAAAAATGTATGCAGGTGGTAGGTCAGATGAAATACCCATGTTGTAATTCTGAAATTAATAACTCTACTGAGGTTATTTAATGAATGAGATTCTGTGTTCTTAGAAAATTTAAACTGAGGTAAACAGCACAAAATGAAAGGATAGGTAAAAATTCTAATGGTTTGAAAAAGATTATATGTCTACATCTATACATGCTCAAAAAGAAGAGATAGAGAAAATGGTAAAACTCTTGGGACAAAGCATTAGCAGAAATATAGGAGTTTTTTGTGCTATTCTTACAACTTTAAGTTTGAAGTTTTTCTGTAAGCTTGGAACTATTTTCTTTTATTGAGTTTATTGGTACATTTTAGGTATACAGTACAATTACATTCATTATTAGGATCTTGTACCTTTACAAGACAGATCTTGGTTCTCATTTTTTTCCCCTTGTCTGCGCACTATTTTCAAACATAAAAATAAATAATAAAAGTTATACTTCTTTTGGCTAACCTTACCCAAAGTAAAAGTAAATCTTTTTAAAGTTCCTTAGTAGTTATATTCTGTGATTATAGTTTTATTTTGAATTTTGCATATATTGCTTTGAATTTAAAGTTATATTGCCCTCTCTGCCTTGTTTCCTTCCTTCCATAACATTGTGACTTCTTCAGGAATGGTAGGTAATAAAGGGAGCAATCTTGCTGCAACACTTCTCTCAGTCCTGACACATTGCTCATTTAGTCCTTGTAAGAACCTTATAAGGTAGAGCACAGATTAATTCATCTAAAGTATTAAGTGAGGAGCCAAAATTCAAGAATGTTGTCATTGCACTCTTTGGTATGGTCCTATCCATTTCAAGTTGATGTCTTGGTGATGTTCACAGTACCGACACTTTCCTAGGAAGTGATATTACTCATACACATTTTGACTAGCAAATGGGGGCACTAACACCAATATAATTAAAAAAAAGAAAGAAATCTTTAAAACTCTTTCCCAGAATATCTGGATTTTTAAAGAACAGTTTCCCCCTTTTCTTGGTAGATAAAGAAATTTAGTGGCTAGAAATGAATAGCAAATTCTGAATAAGGCATTGTTTTTCGTTTTTGTTGTTGTTGTTGTTATTTTTTTTTTGTACCGGGGATTGAACTTGGATTCTTGAGCTTGCGAGGCAGGCAGCAGAATCACTGAGCTAAATCCCCAGTCCCAGCCAGGCATGGTAGGGCACACCTGTAATCCCAGCACTCGGGAGGCTGAGGCAGGAGGATTGCTGTGAGTTCGAGACCAGCCCGGGCTACATAGTGAGTTCCAGGTTAGTCTCAGCTACATAGTGAGGCCCTGTCTCAACAAACAAACAAAAATCCCCGGCCCCAAGGCATTGTTTTTATCTTGAGGTTTAAAAAATGGTTTTCAGTTAAAAACCATGATATAATATCCATAAATCATAAAGGAAAATCTAAGGATCCCAAATATATAAAATGCAAAGCATTCTCAAACAGCAAACTATAAAGGCATATTGTATCCATTTAACAAAATATTTTTTTCTGTAATATAAAAGCAATCTAACAAACCAGTGAGAAATACATAGATGTATATTTATATGTATTGCAGATATTTGACTATTACAAAAATATTAACAGTAGTCATTTATGAACAATGGGAAAATAATGTTGTGAGAAGACATTTATTTCACTTTTTACTTTTTCTGTATAGTTTGAAATGTTTACTTATAAGTACATGTTACTGTTATACTTTTTAAGTGGTTTAAAAGAAACATCTAGGAGTTAGAAAAAATTCCTAATAATAATAAAATAATGAAATATGAAAGGAAAAACACAAATGGATTTTCTGTTGCTTGAATACAAAGAAGAGGATTTTATGGAAGGACTCATCTCAGAATGAGGCCCTACTGCAAAGTGAGCACTGCTCTGCAGAGGCCCCATAGCTTAAAAACATCGATTGGCCATAGAGATGTCTGATGCCTGGAAATGAGCCTCACTCAGTCAGTAGAGACTGAACATGGCACAGAACACAGAACGTTCACTTACTGCCATTTCACTAATCAATGATAGTTACTGAATCTTTGTTG